CACACACACACACACACACACACACACAGACATCCATACACACGTATTTCCTTTTTTTTACTTTTTTATTGTTCTTATACTGTTTTCTTAGACCTTATGTTTTTTTTCATTGCTGTTCTGTCATCTATACTGTAACTAGGAGAGATGCCCACATACGAATTCCAATGTGTATAAACTGCTAGTATATGCACAAACGGCAAATAAAGATCTATCTATCTATCAATGATCACATTGTTTTGAGCACAGTCAGTAAAATTGGAGCTGTGGACTCTTGACTTTGAACAGACAATAATGTGGGGTTTTGTTTTGTCCCCACCTTCAGTTATTCCCACCATAAAGCAGCACAAGGCTGACAGATGGTAAAAAAATAATAACTGGAGTGATTTTGAATTATTTTACATTTTAAAAGTACATTTTTTTTTCAGGGTATTGTAATTTATTTTATTTATTAAATTGTATAATGTTCTTCAGTTCAAAATGTATGTGATCCATTGGTTAAAAATAAATGAGTCAGTTTTTCTCATACCTACTCTTTTTCACTGTTTGACTTGACCAAGACTTTTCTAAGATTTTACGCTACAAAATAGGTAAAAGTGTGTCACTTGTACTGTTTTGGTAACGGGTCAATATCGGTATCGTATCGGAAGTGAAAAAGTTGTATCGGGACATCCCTAGTGTTTTTACATTTTAATATCAGCTGACCTGTGATGAAAAGAAAAATACTGTGACATACCGAGAAACCGGTGTAAATGCTGAAAATACTGTGATATAAAATTTTGGTCATACCACCCAGCACACTTGCTTATATCTTTATTGATTAAAACTGGATGCAGCAACACAAAAATGCAATTTTTTATTGTTTTAAAAGGGAAAAACAAAGATGATTAACTACAACAATGTCTTATTGAGCTGATTATTGTAATGCTACCAGTTTGGCTTTGTGTTCAAGATGTTTGTATGAAATTAACTAAATGCATTTCAGTTGTTTTATGTAGCTTATTACAGCCATAACGCCAATACAAATAAATCATTAGTAGAGGCAAAAATTATGAAGGTTCCAGCAACTGCAACTTTTTCTTTTAATTTACTCAGTGACATTTGAGAATTCAATTTCTGAAAGCATGACAGACCACCATCATGTCTGTTCCTTGTAAAAGTAAAAGTTTAAAGCCTCAATTCAGTAATCGACTAAAATGTCTCCAGATTTCCTAAGAAAGACAATAAAAGTTGTGAAAGAACTCCTGTCATGATTATGTGAACAGTTATTTGGTGACAAGCACACACACAGTTTCAAGAACAACTTATAACCCTCTTCCACAGACAGCCAGATGAGACTGTGTAAACTAAAAATTAAATTAAGTTCGGCTCCACAGGTGGCTGTGAATGAACCCCGAGGCTCTGCAGTTAGGTCTCTTGTTCTGGACAATTAGTTAATGACAACGTCCCTCTGAGAATACTAAACCCACACAAACACTCCCTGCGAGGGTTATTGGTAAACCTCAGGGCCGGCAACGCAGCATTTTGACATAACACCTGTGTCACGGGCCGGCACCTGGGAATTTGGGACTTTGCTGACAAACACTGAAGCACTAAAGGCTGTTTTATACTTCTTGTTGCACGTCTTTTACACCCCGCTGAATGAAAAAAAGTTGCACAACTTCCGTCTGCACTCCCGCTGCGATCCCCCGGTGACAGCTGTCCGATACATTGCCCCCAGTCAGCACTCCGAGACGCAGAGGTTGCGGCTCGGCACGTGTGATTGGTTCAAAGTTTGTGGGCGTTTTTGTTTGATGTATCACTCCGCTGCCCGGTACTCGATTCCAGAGGCCGGATTTTTTTGTAAACATGGATAGTTTCGAAGAGAAACTTGCCGAGGCGGTCCGGTGGTACAAACATTTGTATGACTTCTCTACTGCGGAGTACAAGTAATGCCAAATGGCAAAAAATTCATGGAGGGAGATTGCAGAAACATTGCAAACTGTCTCTGCCACAAACGGTGGCAGACTCTCCGTGACCGGTTTGCAAAGACCAAACGGAGTATGCAGGTCCGGAGCGAGGATCCTAGCGGGACCAATCTAGTTCCTCGTTATTTCTTTTTTGCCTTTTATTTTTACTTATTTATTTTTGCTGGACACATGCATTAAACACCGGGGGAGGACAACAAACATGACAACATCCGACACAACGGACTCACAAATCGAGGTAATAAAACACCCTCGCTAGCCTACTTTTTAGAGAAAATGAAGTGATTTATTACAGAAGCTTAAATATAAAATCACGCTTGTGTTGCTTGACGTATGCGGTGGGAGGGCAGAGGGAGGGATTACTATAATGTATCCCCCACATCTTTTCCAAGTATAAACACTCAATGCAGTCGGTGACACAAATGCAATTACGTCATCGCTGGGCCGCAGCCGCACGTCTTGCATGAAGTATAAACACCTTAATGCAGATGAGGCAACCCGGTTCAACTGCAAATGTGATTTTCCAGAAAGACCTTTACACGCGTGTCAACCACGCAGCAATTCAAAAATGTTTGACTCTTATTTGTCAAAAGTTTTTATGTGTGTTAGAAGGTCTTTAAAATAATTTTTGATGAAAATACCAAAATAAAAGCAAAATTTTACAGAGCAGGAGACACACGTAAGGGTCCAGACAATTCCACCACAAAGTGGGCAATATTTTAACTACCCGTGTGTGTCTGTTAGTAAAATAATCTCGTGAACCCTTAAAGATAAACTTGATACATTTGCTTAAAACAATAAATTCATAAAAAATTTCAGAATGACTTAAGAAGCAGTACTTTATGTCCAAACTAAATTATAATGCAGTTGAATTATAAGGTGAGAGTATAAAGACATGAGTCACTATTGTCCCTCATTTCATTTTTACTAATAAAATAAGAACTGTTATGTCCTCTTAATTACTGATTTAGTGAATAGTTAGCACTGCAAAAAGAAAATATTTCTGATTATGGGTGTGTGGAATTAATTTTTACTCACAGATGGAAAATCAAAGTCCTTCTGGTTGACGAGGTTGAGGACATATTTGATCCGGTGCTGGTTCTCTGGACATGCCAGCTGCACAGGTGGTGTTAGGGTGCTCATGGCTGTTACTATGGTCTGTCACAAACACAAAGGAAATGCACAGAAAACTTAGGATTGACATCATTTTTGAAGAAAAACAGAAAAATGACTGTCCTATTTGTTTACAAAGATCAATCTTTTGGGGTCCAAACATAAAAAGTGTATAACAGAAAATAGCCTTACCTCAATAGCCTCTTTTATATTGTTCTTGATGTCCTGAATTTTCTGTTTCTTTTCTCTGAAAGAAAAAAGGTGACCATTATGAAATTATAGCTTAAAAAAGGTGCAATATTATGATTCTGTGATGAGGAAGTGCAGCTTGGAGAGACAGCCCCAAAGAGGAGCCAGACCCAACTGGTCATTTTTGCTCCCCTGCCTGCCTCAGGATTTCTACAGGATTTCTCAAACATGCAAGAATGAGTCCAAGTAAGACTCTGGGCATGTTTTTGATGAGAGGATAACATTATAACATGTTGTAAAACTCAAAAAAGTTGGTTTTACATGATATAGCCCCTTTAAATGAACAGGAAACAGAATAATCAAAGCATAATATACAGAAAATTAAGTGATATATTTTAAGAATTGTTTACTGCAGCCTAGTTTCACAACATTGTCCATGATACTGTATAATGAAAAAATAATACAAATTTAATGTATTGTAATAAAATACAAAAGTTAAAGAGTCATTATCAGCTTTAATAAAACTTACCGTAAGTATTTTGCTAAAAGATTTAATTAAATAAGATAAGTGGACTAATAGAGTACATAAAATTGGTGGGACAAAATGTTCAAAATTTCTGTGCCTTAAAACAGGAAAAAATCTTTTTTTGTTGTTGAACATTAGATTGTTTATTTAGCTTATAAATATAAAAAGTGTTTAAGAAGGGCACGCAGCAGTGCACTGCGTCGAGTTTGTTTTTGATCTGGAAGGATAAACAGACCTTCACTGCCACGCGTGGAGAAGAAATTATGTCTGTCTCCAGTGAATGATAGCCGTGTGTACAAGATGTTTGGGACTCTTTGTGATAGAAATGTTTCTAATAAAAGGCAACCAGAGAGCCACTCAGTCTATCTTTCACCTTGAGCCTGCCAGGACAACAGCGCATTGTGTTTACAATAGTTCTATGTCAGTGGCAAAGGGCGAGTTCTCTGCTACTTTTGTTTCTGCGCAAGCAAAGACGTCCACACTGGTCAAAAAGTGTGCAATATGTGGAAAACATAAAATATTTGTTGTATGTAATGCAACCTGTCTGTCTGATTAACAGAAACGAATTGGAACGATTTGTTCACATTTAATTTAATACAGAGGCCCCAACCCAGATCCTCACAGCCCACTTCTCTGCATGTTTTAGACGTTTCCCTGCTTCAACACACCAGACTGAAATGAATGACTGGTTTCAGCTGAACTTGATATTCTGAGCAGGTAATTCAGGTGTTTGAATCAGATGTGTGAAACACCAAAAACATGCAGGACAGTGGGCCACAAGTACCAGCGTTGGGGATCTCTGATCCAATAGGTAAGAGCTTATTAAGACCATTTAAACATTTTAGCCGCTCATATAGACGTCAGACATTCGACATTTCTGACACGACTTCAATTAGAAAAACAGCTGAAGCAGATTCCAGATTCCGTTTCTTAAGACGAGTCACCTGTGGGGTCACCCTGCACCGATAAACAGAGGGAAAAGAAAGGGAAAGGAGGGGTACGGAAAGTTTATCAGTTTAGAAAGGAGATTGAGAAGGCCCTGTTTACATTTTCAACCTGGCAGTCATTATAAATCACATGGTTGTGTGTGTATACACACACATTCCCGTCTTAAGCCTGAGAGTACTTCCTTTTGTGCCTCTGCTTCCAGGTCTTTTGTATTTTATTTGACCCCTTTTTGTTTTTTGTTTTTTGTTTTTTTGGTTCAGCTTGTTTTGTCTCGGGTTCGGCTGTAATGTTAAACGACAGCGCTGACCCAAGAACTAACCTGCATGCTTGTGTCCTCAACAGAGTAGACAATTATTAGAAGTGATGCATTCTGCTTTAAATTATTTTGGCCATTCTTTCATTTTTGGCGATAGATGAATCACAGTTCGGAAATTTCTATTGCTTTTACAGAATTGTTGTAACTTTGCCGTTACTTATTTTTTTATGTTACCCATCTGTTGCACTCATTTCATCCACATGAAACACAACAAAGATGACAAGTAGAGGAGCAGTTTAAGCATTTGCTGGTAACTGACTGTTATATAATGTGGTTTTCATTTTAAGTCAGATTCAAAACCACAGAAATCTTTTATGTATGAACAGTCTAGAGTAAGTATGTAGTGGTGGGTTGGTCCTGGTATGAGATTGTGATGTCAGGATAGAGGAGTGGCCTTTATTTAGTGATTCAGGCAAGCTGCACTCAAGGTAGTTCTCTTCTATAATGGTTTGCATTGCTACAAAAAAAAAAAAAAAAAAAAACAGGGTTGCTCAACAGAAACGCACTAGAAGAAGTCTGGTACATTCTTTGTATAGAACTACAGCATTTGCATGGATCTGCTTTACTCTTAAGTCTTTTTAAAAAGTAATTATTATGCAATAATTATGCCATCTTGGGTTCTGTTCAGTCGTGCAGACGTTGGTACAATTAAACATTTTTGCAGAATGTTTTGCTGATTTTCCCCATTTTGAATGCACCACTTGCACCGCCATAAAAATCAAGATGTGCACAACCAGCCAAAACAACAAAATCCTCTGCAAGCGGGCACTGTGTTACAGTAATTTTTGTGTGAGCTATTGTTTGAGGCTGAGAACAAACACTTTGCAAAACACTCCCCCTTCACCTCTGGTCAGTGCAAACTGCAGTCACTGTGTATAATGGATGATTTAAGGAAGTTTTCAGTAAAAAAAAGAGGATGGGACAAAAAAACGGGAGAAAAGGGATCAAAAAGCCAGTGGATGAATGAACAAATAAATTTGCCTGCTGCCACATGTACACTCAGGGTAAGGGACTGAATCAAAGTAAAGTTTCAATTCAATGTGATGTCCATAGACAATGAAAAAACAAATGTATTCTTTTGCTGTCACTAATTTAATACATTTTACTGTCTTGATTTCAATGATTTGTGCAATATACACTATAGGAATGAATTTGCTATACCTCATAATAAATGGCTCCAATACATATTTAAATTACTGTCCGCCACCAAAAGGTAGGCAAGTAGATTTTAACTGCCTGCATTGGTGTGTGCACGTTCAATTATATGTTGTCTTCAGAAGAAAAAAAAATCATGAATTAAATTGTTCCAAGGGTATTGCATTGTTTCCAGGGTATCGTTCAGTGCTTTTCAATAAAATACGATTGGAACATTGAATGTGTATTATAACATCTGACAGTATCAGGTTTTTTTTAACTGTATCGGCAAAAATCGAAATTGGCAGGTCAGATTTTTTTTAAAGACCAGTGATCGGCCAGAAATTTGTGATTGTCGACCCCTAAAAATAACAAAATCTGGATTATTAGGTAAACACAAAAACATGTTTTAACACGTTTTTGTTTAGAAGTAGACTACCTCTAATATTTTAACACAATAAGAAATGTGCTTCTTTATTTGAAGTTTTTTGCAACTGAAATCTGAGGTTAGAAACAGATCAAATTAAATATTTTCTATATTAAACTTTGCGTTCAACCTCTGCTTGAATGGTGTAAAAAAATCAGATACTTATTTATGTTTGTGGAAGTTCCTTGCATCGCTGTGGTGCTTTTACCCACCCACAAACTAAAAAGTCCCACATAGCTTCAGTGCTCTGTTTTAAATAGTAAAGCTGACAGTTAAACACCCTGATCAAAGATGATTCAGTAATCAATTTTGAGAAAAAAATGAACACCTGAACGATTATTTTAGTCATTTTCTTCCTTCAATGTAACCAAAAGCAAAACCCATCAGTCTTCCGGTCACAAGCCTGTTACTCTGATTTAACCACAACACTCAAACCATTCACCCTGAATCTTTTATCACTACAACTTTTATCCCAAATCGGCATGTTTATGTTATGCTAGAGGATCCATGCTCATTAAAACGTTACTATTCTTGTCGTGTGAAGGCCCAACTGGTCTGCAACACTGACGTTATGATTTCAAATCTTCACTGACAAAAGTTACTAAATGCTTGATGCCAAACAGTCAAACTATGAAACTAACAAAGGTGCTTCAGTTCACCGCAGATGAGGAAACAGAACGCTAAACAAATCAACCTGACACTTCCAGTAATGTCAGATATGCAAGTTATGATGATGTTGTATTAGTCTGCCACCCACCCATGCATGCACAGAACATGAACAGACATGCACATTTAGACACTCTTTCATACACAAACACAAGGACACACACACTCACTGTTCAGTGTTGTGGAGTCACGCACTGGGTCATATGCTTTAGTCTGCCTAAGGTGCTGATTTTCTAGTCTAACCTTGCAAAGATGCTTCTGTCCCGGCCAATACATGACCACCAGCAGGCCCAACCCACTCTTAGTTACTAACACACAAAATCTCACAGAAACTTATCTTTGCTTTCTGTAATACATCATTTAGAAACATGATCCAAAACCAAAAGCCAGGAAAAAAGAAGCAGCTTGATTATTTACGAGTTGTTGCCAAAACCAGTGACAAAGTAAGTTAAATAAATTCAAGTTTCAATATGTTCATTCATTATGTTACAGTAAAAAACTTCCACAAAGTTTTAGTGTTTTATTTTTATTTTAATTTAGGAATGACTGTGAAACAATTTGAGATTGTTGTAATGAATGTACCAATAAACTAGTTTCTGGTAAATATTCTTGTCGTTTAAACTCAAATATGCAGAGTTGAGGTTAGCTGTTCCTATTTTTTAACAATGGCAGCAATATTAAAAAAAATCCAGTTTAAATCTCTTCCAAGTTGACACAAATTTACATTTAATGGTCTCGTCATTTTCTTAAATTTTTTGATACCAGAAGTTTTCCATCTGAAATGGTAAGAGCTCAGCTATGCTTCAACTACCTCAGGTGACAATACAGCAGTTATGACATTAAACATCAAGTTTAAGCCACAACTAGAACTATCAACCATAAGGCAGCAGCCCTTTATAAAATGGACAGAGAGCTGACTCGGGACTAGGGCTACATGGTATATGCAATAAACAATACAAACGATATGAAGTTGGCCTACAATAGAAATATACCCAGTACCGTCCTGTCGTCAGTTACGTCATCGCACCTGTGTCAACATGGCTGTTGAGTGCAGAGACAACTGAGCAAGAGGAGTTCCAAATATAATGAATATACTGCTTTAAAACACATATAGAGAGAATAAATCCTCCAAATTTCCCCCTCCCGCTGTAGAAAAAGTTAAGTTGTGCCGCGGGATCATGACCCACCCCACACGTCGCGCAGAGCGAAGCTTTAAAAACCATAGTTTTTTTTTCACCCAAGTTGTCGGAGAAAAAACCTTGTTTTTATGTATTGTTACCCACAGAGACGATTTAAAAAAATGCGGATGTTCGTTCAGTCATAAATCCATCTTGCTAATATCTGTTTCTGCTCTGATGAAGATGAGAGCGCAGCAGAGCAGCAGCCGATAAGTTCAACAGGCAAAAGCTCATTGTATGGCAGGCAAATATTACATTTATTTGGCTTCACCGCACCTTAAGGTCCTGTCACACTATAACATTTTAGTCAACTTATACCAACTTAGAATTTCTTTTTAATGTCTAAATGACTAATTTTACTTGAAGTACTGGTTTTAACGTCCACTTTATTTTGAAATTGTTGAAAATATGAGAAATGTTTATGTTTGTTGTTGAAACCGTTTTGCAATATAGATAAAACATTCTTTTGTACTTCTGTTTTGTTCTTTTGCACTATAGAAAAAAATGCAGGGTTTGATTATAATTACAGTTTTCTGCTAAATATATGTTCTAAAAATTACATTATCTTTGCTTCTTATGATAATTTTCTACCGCGATATATGCCGTGAAGGGATTCAATTTATACTGTGATATGAATCTGAGGTCATACCCATCGCCCAGCCCTACTCAGGACCCATTCAGATTTTCAACTTAGACTTTATTTTATTTTTTGATTATTTTAAGGTTGTATTTTAGTCTTTTTGTGGCTCAGTTGCCCAGTTTACCTGTGCAACGTGTTAAAGTAAAAAGAATGCATCGTTTTTATTAACATTTGATTACTGTGTGTTTTAACACTTCATTATGTTTTAAATATTTTCATGAATAAATTTGTTACAAAGATGTGCATCACTATGTAGAAGTCCAACAAGAAACTATTTTTTTACAGTATATAAAAAAATACCACTCCCCCAAAAAAAAAAAAAAAAAGGACTTTTCGGAAACTTTGAAAGTGACATTATATCACACATTAACTGTAAAAGATACAACTTTGAAGAGCTTCATTTATGTGAATTAGGAAGTAAAAGGTAACTTTATGACAGCAAAAGGAAGTACTCTTGTTTGCAACTGGCTGAAATTACAAATTTAAATAAAAAAGGCATTTATGCATCCTAACTTTTGAATGATTAACAAAAAGCTAAATGCAACATCCTGTTGCTATGCTTTTTCTGCTGTGTCTAAAACCTGCATGGATGTAAAATGTGGAAAATATGCAAACATTTTCAAGAAGTGTCTCCCTGAAACCTTGTTAACTTAGGCAAATATTACATTTTATGCCACACAGACACCAAGACATTCTAAAATAATTCTTAACAATACAATAACTGGACTTTTTTTATCTAGTCTTTGAGTGTTAGAGAGAAGGTTCGGGACTTGAGTTTTTCTAGAAGATACATTATCAGCTTCCTGATTATAAATGGATGACAGATTCAATAGTTGTCATAGTGTCTTGTAGGATTTCACTTGTGTTTTACTCACTCTGCATTGAAGCCATTGACATGTAGGATCCTCATCTGTTTTACTATGGTGCTCTTTCCCGACTCTCCAGCTCCTGAGAACAAAATAATAAAAAAATAAATAAATTACAAAACCAACACCTTAAATCATGAAAATTATGACTACCGGTAGGTAGTTCCTCAATAGGATTGGGCGATTTCATAGTAATACTATGTCCTAGGAAATCTATTTAATTCAATTCAAAAATACTTTATTGCTCCCAGAGGGAAATTAGATAAAACCAACAGTTTCACATTAAGCAAAACTTCAAAACTCCTGGAAATTGTGTAAGCCAAACCTGTCAAACAAAAAGAATGACACTGCACAAGTTAAACCTAAAAAGTTACCACACACAAAAGTAGAGCAAAATTGGCAACTTACACCCTGAAAAATGGAGCAGAATTAGAACTGAGTGGAAATTAGAGCCAAAAAGTCTATAAAAACAGCAATACTTAATAAAACAGCCTTCTAGAGGTGGCACGTTTATTTAGTAACATTATGAGCATGTTTGTATAGCACTAAATGTAAGGAAAATTGTGTTTGGTGGATTATTTCTTTGTTGTAACAATGCTTTTTGGCAATAAAACTTACAATGTTGGAAAGCATTTTAATTTCCCATTTAAATGGTGCCACATTTGTAAGGAACAAGTACTTGTGGGATGAGCAGTTCTGCCAAATAGCTTATTTTGCTGTTACTGACACTTGTTTTGAGCTTCTATCTCAGGTGTCTGGTATAATATTTATTTTCAAGATGCATTGTTAAGGAAATAATCAACCAAACACAAATTTCCTTACTTTTTGTGCTATGTTGTATATGTTTTTAGTAAACTAGGCTTCAAGAAACAATAGCTAAATAAAGTGTTGTACCTCTAAAATAAAAAATGAAAAGCAAGAATCTATGAAATTCAAAATGCCCTAAATTATATGCAGAAATGCCGCTACAAATTTAATGGCTAATAATGGACACAATGATTACTTTTAAATCTACTTTGAAAAAAATACCACAAACCAGATTTTTTAGTCTTCATAACCAGCAACACGCCCAAAAATCACAATAAGTGTTTACAAAAATCCCAATAAGTGTTTACACACCTGCAGCCTGCACAATCATATGTACTGTTACTATTCATTGTAATTTCTCAACTGAATAATCATTTGCACAACTACTCATTTATATTATTAATAATCTGAGCAATCAGCTGTTCTGTTGCTACCCATTTTAAACCTTAAAAAAACTGCTGTAATTGCACATCTGTGTTTCTTGTCTGCATTGTGATATTTCACTTTACAGTTATCAGTCTGTTGAGATTGTTTTGCCTTGAAAACAGGCAATTTCTGATTCATAATGTCGGATTCTGGTGGTCTACTGTCTCTAAATCAAAACGTATCGTTTTCTATTGCACAATTCTTTATATTGTATTTTGTTGTTAGTAGTAGTCGTATCATGGCTAGTCATTGTTAATTTTTGTTTGTGTGCAATATCTATAATTTGTAAAGTAACTAGTGTGTGAACCTCTACAGATGCTGCTGTGACACCTGAATTTCCCTTCGGCGGGACAATAAAGGCTATTTCTATTTCTATTCTAAACTCACTGCACATTATTGTGTATGGTTTGTCTGCAAAGTATTTGTTTGGCAACAAACTGAAACTGGTGACATGTGGCCATGCTGGGAAGTTAGCTTTACCCTGTTGAATGTTGACTGAAAATAAAAATTAAAATAAAAACCAAAGTAAAGAACACTGACATTGCCTCCACAGGGCAATTAACTGTTTTGACAATGGTCCTAAACTGATAAACTCTCTGGCAGAATCACAAGTCTAGAAAACTTGATATAACTTTTAAAAGAAATGGATACAGTAGTAATTCAGCCAGTATTTAATAACTTTGATGTCAAGCATTCTTCCCCCAAAGGAGACTAGAAGTAAAGTATTTTTGAGGATTAGGAGAATGCGTTGTATATAATCAACTGATCGATTATCAGAGCATGCGTCACCCAGTCAATATCAGGTTTTAAAGTTGGCTAAATGCAACGTGTGACTTTTAGGGCTGCACCGATTAGTTGAAATAATCGATGACGCCGATTATGTAAATTTGTCGACGCAGATTTTTTTATTATCGATTCACTGTATTACATAACCACCAAGTGAATGTTCATGCAATTCCATTTCGGTACCTAAATGCATCATTGCGACCTTATTGGCATAAGAGTGGTGAGCAGCCGCTGCTTCAGTTCAGTCTGAAGCTTGAAAGCCTCGCAGCTCCTGGAGTAAAATTTACCGAATAGATCGCCTCTGAATTATCTGGTGGATTATCTTGTGAGCACGACGTTCGCTTGCTCAAAGTAAATGAAGTACCGCCACTTTCTTTATTTCATCCTCCATTAAACAGAGACCGGTGTTAGGTCAAGCCATGTTCCCCCAGCGTTTCAAACAACAGAGGCGCTTCCCGACACACGTCTGACCTAAAGAGCACAAGCAGCCAACAAGTGTTGGACGTGTTTTGGATGTTCAAAACGTAGCATAGGCTACGTTCACACTGCAGGTCTTAATGCTCAGTTCTGATATTTTGAAAAAATCCGATCTTTTTGTGTGAACGTTCACATTACATTTTAAATGTGACCTGTATCAGACCCCTGTGTGAACGCTACACAGCACTGATGTGACACGCATGTGCAGTAAAAGACGTGACGTCTCATCAGCCGGCTTGTTTGTTCACAGAGCTAGCATGGATGCTACATATTACACATTGAATCGGAAGTTGTTGTTTAATCAGAGCCGATTAAATAATTATCTGATCTGCTTCTTTAGTTCAGTGTTTATATCTGAAGCTGCCTCTGACCGGGATGCTCCAGTGAAGCTTTTTTTTTTTGAACGAAACTACGAGTTAGAAAAAAGTATCGACCGGGTAGCTAACTTTAGGATCGATACTCTCCGCGATCCAGGCTGGACCATTATTATCAAACTATCTACGTGGAAAATGAAAAGTAAAAAGATGAGGCAACTGGACTTGTGTTTTGGAGCTGTAAACACACGGAGCTACAGATTTAAACAGCAAGACTTCAGGTTAGTGTCTTATCGATCCTTCACCCCCTCCTCACTGATGAAAAAGTCAGATGAATGTGACATGAGCGTTCACACTGCAGTCACTTTGAAAACATCAGATATATATCCGATTTAAAACCACATACTGAAACGGCCTGGGCCGGATTTGAAAAAATCTGACTTGTCTCGTTCAGACTGTCATAAAAAAATCGGATATGAGTCAGATGGGTCAAAAAAATAGGATTTGGCTGCAGTGTGAACGTAGCCTTAGATACATTTCATTAATTTTAACTACATCCTCTTTCGTTTATTTGATTTAAACATACCGTATTTGCCTTCCATGGACCTCCATCACACATTTTTTCTAGTGGGGGAAATGACATCAATAGAAACATGTGGAGCTGGATTTTAATTTGTGTAATAAGACAAAACAGTCTTGTTGTTTTCAACAGTTTTCACCTTAAAGAAAAAAGTTACACAACTGACGTTAAAATACAAAGAGTTGGATATTGTCTTGATATTTGTTAATTTTTATATGTTGAGAAATATGTTAAATAAAAAATAATAAATAAATGTTTATTTTAGTTTTTCCAGAGTGACTTGAATTTTGCATGATTTAGTTCATTTGTTAGATTATTAACATCTTGCACTACATTTCTTTTACTTGAATTTTATATGCTTTGGTTGAGATTTTATRTTGATGTTAAATCTTTTAAGCTTTTTTTTGTTAAAGAATTGACTCTAGAGTGCATATTTTGTGTCCATGAAAAAAACTATTATAGAAAATATTACAATATTAAAGAACTGTTCTTGTTAATTTGATGAAAACATAAATATCCAGTGCACTCACATCAGAATAACTTATTTTTGTTGTTAGAATAAGCGATTAATCGAAAAAAAAAATAATCGTTAGATTAATCGATTAGAAAATAATCGTTTGGTACAGCACTAGTGACTTTTTACATGGTGTCATTTTTGCAGAAGCAATTTGTGGAAAAGATAAGTACATCACACGACTCCACTGTTTATAGAACTACCTTTGTCAGCAAGAACTTTAAGTATTTGTCTTCTGTATGACTTTATCAGTCTCCCACAACGTTGTGAAAAAATGTTGGCTCATGCAGTTTGACTATATTGTTTAGGTGTTTTTAAAGCTTTAAAAGGCACAGATTTCCATCAAAATGAAGAGACCGGACTTTGATATTATTTGATATTTTCTTAGACATTTAGATGTAGAAATAATGCTCTGCCTGGGACCCTCCAGCTGCATGACCCGATCTGAAACAGGCTTCAGTTGTTGGACAGCCGGCCTCATCTAAGTTTTGATCATGTTTTTTTTTTTTTTTACTTTAGCCTGACTTTGTTAAAAGTGTTTTCTAGTTCTACTGTCATGAACTTTGACATTAATATCATTATTTGCATAGCCACAAAGTGGTTCAGGACACATTTCATTCAGTGTGTTCCTACTTATATAATACTGTACATGTGACAAATAAAGGATCTTGAACCTTGCATATTTTACATACTGACTCTTGGATGTTTCTGTTTTATTAAGTATGACCTGCTATGACTTCAATGTAAATTTAACTGGAATGTCCACGCCAGGTGCATTTGGCCAGTCTTTTGATTTTACCTGTGAATAACCTTTTATATAGAAGAATGATATAAAAATAACTTTTAAATGGTTCTATAATTATTCCCATTTTGGTGTGCAACAATTTTTAAAAGACTTTTGCTTACACTTGTCTTACGCCCATGGTCCAAATAAAATCCTGAATGCTGCATCAATCTAATGAAACTTCTACTTTTTAATAAATAATTCAATTTTGTCCCAAAATGTACTAAACATTATTTTTTTTAAAGTAACTTGTTTCCATGATGCATCATGTATTTAAAGTTGCCAGGGTTTTCTTTATTTACATACAAACTGATGTATCAATTTGGCATAATTTAATTATACTGAAAGTCACAAACGCCCTTATAAGGGTCTAATCACAGGCCATACCTGTGGCCTACCTTCTGTTAATCAAAAAGGGTTTTATCAGGTCACAAACAAAGTGAAACAACTTGCTGACATGGACCAAAATGCCATTAAGATTTGAATAAAATGGCTTTGTTAATCCTGTAAAATAACTACTTTAACCCAGGAGCCCAATAGAACGAGTTATCTCAAAATAGTTCAGGAAAAAATCCATCATGGATGATCTAATCTAAAATTAGTGTAAATGAATGTTAGTTTAATCTTTTATAGAATTTTACAGGTCAGGATATTACTTTTGAACACCAAAAAACAACCAAACTTTTGTCCAAGCAGCTGGTTAATAATGTCACTTAAAAATTAACTTTTCGCGAATTACTTCAAAAACCTTTCTGCGTATAAAGGCTGCAGGTTTTACAACTAGCACATCAGATAATAAAAAAGGAACTGCCTTTAAAAGCACATCATTGTTTTCATTTTATGTGGGTCTTGTCCTGCTTTCCAAAAGCCAACACAACTTCCTCCCTAAAATAAAAAACAATATCTGACTTGTCAAACACTGACTGTGCACTCTCAACAACATCTACAGTTAAATATTATGATTTTTCCACAAAAACCAACACAGTCTCTGTAAAGTGTGATAAACCTGTGAAGACATACAAGTAGGGTTGGGCATAATCGTATCATGTGCAATTAATGATCAGAAAAACATTAATCGATTATTTTTTTGGCACTTCACGATTAATACGATTGATGCCACCAGGCTGATTGACCGCTCGGTGCTCCTCTCTGCTTCAAATATGATTAACATAAAAAAGTTCAGTAATTTATTTATTTAAAATTTGATGTATATCTTGAAGTCTGTAACTTTGACACAGTTTGGAACAGATATTTACAAAGAGCAAATCTTTCCCACTAAACTGATCATGTGACTAGGACATAAAGGTGTCCAGGGACTCCAGGGGATTAATCGTCAAATTAATCGTTATCGGCTAAATACAGCAATTAATCGTGATTTTTTTTTTTTTTTTTTTGCCAATATTGCCCAACCCTACATACAAGGAGAAAAACAGAGAAGAGCTTTTCAAGGAAAGTTAAACACACTTATTTGTCTGTTATGTAACGTCAGAGACTCAGCCCATCTCCGGTTCACGAACCTTTCAAGTTATTTGTGCATTATTCTTTCCAGCTATGTTTAATCTGGACTAAACAACTACAAATTAGCAGCTGTTTTAGAACTACTGTTGAACATTTTCTGTATTCTGTTGCTGATTTTGTGCATAAATTAAGTCTAAAACAGACAGCTTGATTAATGCCAATAGTTGATTTATCTTTCGTCTTTCTTAAAATATGTTTAGGTCTACCTCATTTACAGCTGCAGACTTTTTAATCTGACAGCAACATGCTGGAAACCAAGCACAGGGCAGGGCTGCCTTGCTTTTCAGCCTTATGCAATGGCAGTCACACTGTTGACAATGTTTCCCAAAACAACATCCCAGAAGGTTATGTAGAGAGAGGAAGCAGAGTCTCAACTGTGCAAACTGACAGGCCTTCACTGTAAAACACCAGGAAGAGGAAAAAAGAGAGAAATAAATGAAGCAAACTCACCTAGTAGTAGTAGTCTGTGTGTTGCTCTGTAGATCTGTTTGTCTTTTTGGAGCTGCTTCTCTATCTTTTTGTTTGCTTCTCTTTGTGCCTTCTCCTCATTTCTCTGGTCTTCAGTCTTGCTATTGCCCAAACAACCCATCTTTCCAAAAATGAAACAAAAAAGAAAAAAAATGGGGATCCTTGGGAGGAGGAGGAGGAGTAGTGCAGGAGAGAGGGAGGAGGGGATGGATTTGGAGGAACAAAAATAAATAAATGAAACTAACTATTCCCCTCGTTTCACCCTCAGGTGAGAGAGCAGGGTTACACACATGTACAGTTTTCAATGTTCCTGGGCTGGTTCAAAACGAACAAAAATGTCTGTGGTTCAGCTCTGTGTAAAAAATTATGTCCGTATTTTGCTGTCAAAAAAAAAAAAACAGGGCAGGATACACGGACGGAGGCCGCCTTTTCAGTTTGCAGATTCGTACTCGGGGCTTTTTTTAATGCAGTTTAGTGTTTGCTTAGCTGTATTCAAACCCTTTCCCCGTCAAGTGGGTTGAGATTTGTAATCCAAAAGCGAGATTTCACCTCAAACGGAGGCAGCAGAAGCAGTCTAACTCGCATCTCCAAAAAAAGAGAGAAAAAAGCCGGGGACTCGCGTCTCACTGCTGCCCGTGACAAGGAGCTGAACTCGGCCTGTCCGTAAGGCTCGCCCGGGCTGTGGCGCGGCTCGTCTCCACGTCGCCTTTCTTAAACATGTCCACAAGTGTATATGTATACTCTTTAGCTATTTCTACTTCTTCCACCCCGACGGTTGTCTATGTCGGGAACCCAGCAGCAGGAAGAGAAATATTTACACCCGAACGAGCTACATGTGTGGTATTCTTCTTCCTTCCGTCGTCATCCGGTTCGCTACATCGAAGACAGCTCCAGAACTCACTGCTGGGTGCTCCTTCTCAAACCCCAAAACGACCCAAATATCTCCCTATTTTGCTCTCTAGTTTGTGATGGCTGCTCCTTGCTGATTTTTTCCTCCAAAAAGGGCCTCCTTCTGCCTCTCTGCCCCTCGCTTTTGTTGCAGAAATGTTATCAGCCCCTCACATCACCACAAAGCCAAAAAAAAACTGCGCACCGACAACCTTTGCTTTTTTAAATATGTATTCCGAAATCGGCTCCGGCGAATCCCTCCACGAGAGGACAATCAATTAAAAAAAAGCCTAAAGAAAAGAAAAAGAAAACGTGACCAAGATGTCAGAATCCCTCGAAATGTATCCACGTTTCTCTTGCAGGTGAAAAATCAACCCCCGCTGTCACAGGGCTCAGGTTTTCATAGCCTAAACACACGGCTTATAAATGTTTACACACCTATACACACAAACATACATTTTCACATATCCCCCCTTTGAATTCAAGGTGGGTAAACACGCCACAGGCTTGACAACTACATGTGCATTTTACATTCAGAAAAAATAGGACGCGGGGTTGTTGTAGCAGCACATTCCCACCGTGAAGGCCGCTCCTCTCCGGGCCGCCGCTCGACGAAGGTGAACGACAGCCAAAAGATTTAAAAAATACAAAATAAAACGATTCTTCGAGGGTTTTATTTCTCTTCTTTTTCTTCCTCGGTCGCGTTCTCTCCTTCCGAGAATAGCAGGCTACATTGAGGAGATAGACAGCGCTGAAGAGACACGGGGTGGGGCCACACAGCGCTCATTGAACCCTGGGAAGGAAGAACCGAGGAGAGGAGAGGCCGCGGCGCTGCGTCACGTGACCCGCGATGCGTAACTGCGTCACGGCGTGCGGAAAGCGGCGCCATGTTCAAGGAAAACCCAGCAGAAAACAAATGTAAAAGAGGTTTAATTTAAAACATATATCACTGCATACTTAATGTTGTTTTAGCCATAAAACATTCAACTCACTTAGGAGATGAGTGAGTACTGTCTGTGTTTTTGTAACTTTGTAATTTAAAAAAAAAAGATTTTACTTTATTTGCTAATCTTTTCTACCTAAAACATTTAGTTGACTCCAATTTCTTCAAAACATTGTTCTCTGATACGTTTAGCAAACATTTTCTGTCTGAACATTTTTTTTATCTTTTAGTTACCCTTTTAATAATGCAGCTATATTAGCTAGCCTTTTGGTACTATCTCTTTTACCCTTTTAGCTTCTAGCTAGCATTTTGCTAATATTTAGCTATGCATTTATTTAATCAATTTATCTTGTCTATTCTTGTGTTTTTAGCATTTAGCTAATCTTTTGCCTCTTTTACATTCTAGTTAGCCATTTTGTAAACTTAGTTTTAAGATAGCCTTTTGGTACCTTTGTTATCCCCTTTTGCTTTTACACACATTGTTTCTCTTGAACTCACAAGAATTCATGATTTTTAAAGAGGTTTTACAAACTAAACTGACTTGAAAGGAAAGACTGCATCACTTTTATTGTTGCTGAGTCTGTTTGTCACTAGATGGCAGCAGTTTTTTAATTCAGACATACTCAGGCTTCAGCCCTTTGTTAACACATTATCTTTAATTCCTGTGCACTTTTACCCTCTTTGTATATATGTATAACAGAAATGATGTTGCCACAGCTAATTGACTAGGAAAATGGCTTCACCTCAGTGAATTTTACAGATGTTGAACTAAAAGTTGGTGTGAGAGACTGAGGAGCTGAGAGTCATTCACAACACATTCACTAATTCTAACAGATAGCACAATATATCGTAATATTTCATGAGATGACTCATGCTGTATTTTTAAAGGTTTGAGTCATAACAAATGCTAGGTTTTTAATTAGTTTTTTTTCTTTTTTAATTATACTGACATAAACTTCAGCGTAAACTGCTAAATGAGGCTTAAAGAGTCTGAGGTATCGTGCTCTTGATATTTTTGCACTTTGAGCACTGTGCAATCTGGCTTGAGACGCCTCCTCCTGGGAAGCTTGATGAAGGTCTTAAAAGTTTTCCGCTTGTCAATATTCTTCTTCATTGTGGGAAGATAGCCTCTGATTGTTTGAAATGACTTTATAACATTTCCCAGACCAACGAGCAACAGCAGCTGGTTCTATAAGATCACTGTTCATGTTTTCCTCCCTTTAGTTATTGGATAAAAAAATGCAGCAAAATGTGAGGATTCCTATTAAATAGATGCTTCACCTTATTGATGCTTAGTTAGATTTGCTCCACATGGTTCCCACTTACCACCTAATTCTTCGGGGGTGGGGGGGGGGGGGGGCTTAACAGTTATTTTTAAAACATAGTTTCAACATTTTGGTTGTGTTTTAGTCACCATTTACAAAAATGACTTTAATAAGCTATATGATCAGTATAAAATGTATTTTAATGATCAAACTATTACATTTTGCCCTTTATAAATTCTTTCCTTCATCTGTTTCACAGGGTGGCACAGAGGTCAGAGCTGCCGCCTCACAGTGAAAAGGTTAGGGTCGCCTGCTTCCCTGGGATCTTTCTGGGTGGAGTTTTCACATTCTGCTCTTGCACATGTAAGTTTTCTCCAGGTGCTCTAGTTTCCTCCTAAAAAAAAAAACAAAAAACACAGTTTTGGTTCATTGGTAACTTTAAATTGTCTCTAGGTGTGGATGAAAATGAGACTGGTTGTTTATCTCTGTGATGGACTGGGGACCTGTTTAGGGTACATCGCCTCTCACACAGTGCCTGCTGGAGATAGTTACCAGCTGCCCGCCACCCAGAAAGAAGAAGCAAATAAAGAGAATGGATGAATGGGTAAATGCCTCTGTTTTATAACTCAAAATACATCATCTGCAGTTGTTCCAGTAGATTTGATTAGTTTGTTTTGTTGATCATAAAAAAGGGAGGAAAAAAAAACACACTGCATGTCTTAAAATCTGCCTCTTACATTTGGAAGTAAATTTATGTTATTGATTGTCTCAGTCTTTGCTGTGATTATTTTGCTGTAATCACACCGGTGCTTTAATGGCCTTGCAGCCATGAATATTAGATACACTTCCCTTCAGTGAAAATATGATGAGCCAGCCAGAGGTGGCTGTAAGGAAACAAACAGTGGTGTGTGTGAGGATCTGTCTGGGATTCTGAAATAAAACAAACTCTCAAAAAAATAAAAAAAAGAAGAAAAGAAAACTCCCAGCTGTTTCAGAAAAATGTTACTTTCTATATAATCCATCACTGAAGACGGATGCCCGTGTAGAAACTCACGCGACTGCCATAAAGGTTGTAATGCACATAGAAAGGTTCCTTTAGTGCTTTTTAAATTTTTTTTTTTTTCATAGCGGAAGCAGGTTTTTCAGTCAAGTTATGAAAGCGGCTGCTCCTGTGTGAGATTAGCTGCAATAAGGGAGTTACAGTGCATTATATCAGAGACAGAAAGAGGTGAGGGAGGGAGCGGAGGGTGTGACAGAGACACAAGCAAAGAGCAAAGGCAGTCATCATCCACTCACAGTTGAAAATCAAGGTTTTCCTCTTTCTGCTCGGACTTTCATCACAGCGCTGTTTCTTACTGTTTGAGCCTGCTAGACTTTTTTATCATTATTATTATTTGCTGCTCTATTAGAAGATGTTTTGACGGGGGTTGCTGTTAATCATCTGCTGATGAAATGTGTGAGGAGGTTGGAATTTCTGTCCACATTTCAAAGACGTTTATCTGACGAGTGTCTAAAGGAGCTGCGAGTGTCTCTGACACCCGGGAAGCGCCATGGCAGGGGATCTTGTAGTCGGAATACTCTACAACTTATTACTACCAGTGCTTCTGCTGACGGGTGAGTTAAAGTCTGTTTAATAGTTTCAAACTTAGCTTGGTGTAGATGAAAAGTGTTTGCTTCAGGAGCTGCTTTAGATTTTGTGTCAAAGTCAATCTTCTAGTAAAGCTCATTTATAAAACATTCACTAACATTCACACACTAACCCAATCAATAATATGATCATAAATAAATCAAGATTTCTGCCGTTTCAGTCAGGAGGAATTCTGCTTCACAGAATGGAGGAAATGCTAAGACTAGACTTTAGAGTCATTTATACAAAATGGCTTTCAATTATGAGTCACAGCTTGTATTACATGGAACCAATCATGTGTAAGAAAGAGGAAAACAAATCGTACTGACTGCAGACAAATTTTAAATCTATTTGAGTGTGATCTCAGCAGCTATAAGTCATTTCAGCTTTAACCCTGTCACAATGGACTACAGGACTTTATGATGCTAAAGCAAGGTTTAACAAACGCGCATGGTGCAACTATAGTTGTAGTTGGTGACGATCTTTAGTAATAAATGTGGTATTTCTTACTCAGTAAATACAACTTCAGAATAATCATGCAGTCACTTTGATAGTTACATATTAACTTTCCCATCTGCACGTTCACCATATTACCAACATGTACCAAATATTCAGTCTCACGTTATTTTCTTTGACATTCTAATAATTTTACAAAGTTGCAAAACTATCAAAATATTGACTGTTTATTAATATATATAAAAAGGTTCATGGATGTTCTTGATTTTTTTTTTTTTTTGCATCGATTTGTTTGATTTAGATGTTTCACTGCTCATTTAAAGAAACCTTTAGGAACATTAAGTACAACACAAACATATGTTTAGTCCTGTTTTTATTTTAAATTTAAACCAGAAGTGATTAGAAACTAAAAATAAAATAAAATAAATTGTATTTTACACAACTCATAGGGTCAAAAATACCCTAATTAAAAAATAAAATAAGATGAATTAATTAATTGTGAGGTTTTTCACTAAATTTGTTGTTTGTTTGTTTGTTTGTTTTTCTTGCACCTTCTGCACATCAGCTTCTTCATTCCGCTACAATGGCCTCTCTGTGGTGTACTTTGTGTTCTTGCTCACGCTGCCATTGCTGCCGAACCCAAGCCTGGTTACCCTGAAAGGTGAGAGGAGCTCCACTCATAACCTTTAATATGATTTCATGTTGACTTTAAAAAAGGCTTAGAGATTGTTTTTAAGCAAGCCTATTCTTCCTCTTCATGATGTTATCACTGATTTTAACAGAGTGTTGTTTTTAGTGTATTTTTATTGTTCTTTTGTTTGATTTTACTAATTGTATTTACCATGATTTGCTGTTTTGTAGCACTTTGAGATTTTTGCTAATGAAAAGTGGTTAGACATATAAATGAATTATTATTGTTATTATGTGTGTTAGCTCTGAAGCACCTGCTGACTCTAGCCGACTTGAAGCAAACCTGTTCTAGTTTCACTTGTTTATATCTCTGTTCAAAACTTGCTGTGTTAAATCAGATGAACATGTAACAACTAATTCTTTCACAAGGATTAATGCTAATTTTCTACACGGCAGTTAAGTCGAAACATTCCTTGAAGAACTGCCTTTCGTGCAAGTTTTAAATAAAGATTCTCTTAAATTGAGAAATGACAGAGTTATAGTTGTTTTGGCCAAGTCTTAAAAATATCAGTAAAGCATGAATATTTCATGTTGCACGATCTATCAGCACTCGAAGTATGTGTGGTGAATGATTTTCAGGTACCACCACACCAAATTTTAGCTCAATATCCATAAAACTGACAAAGTTTGTACCTTTTTGATTTGCTGTGGTGGCCATCTTGAATTGGATAAACGTCAAAAGTTAATATACAGCCAGTGATAACTTTCTGATAGTTTCATTAAAATCCATTTAATGAACTTGTTTTGCTAACAGTGCAAAAACACACAGGCAGGCAAACACCTTATTATCCCAGCTGTGTTGTATACTTCAATATGATCAACTTTTATTTGTTTAAACAGGATTGTTTTTTATTATTGACTTGAATTGTTGTTGTGAAGCACAGTTATCAACGTGCGATTGTTTGAGCGCCCTCTTAGCACTGACCACTCCAGGTTGATGAATTAAGGCATCGGTGCCCCTCCCTCAAAGTACTTTGTAAAGGGGAAATGGTTGGAATGATCAAATCAATTATGCATAGCCTTGTAATTACAGCAAGGAATTAAAAGATGTGATGTCAGCAATCTTCTTTAACTGCCGTCATTTCTCCTCCGCCTGATGTTGGCCTTTCAGCTTCATAGATCCCAGTTATACCCCCACCCACCCCCCACACACACATCATCCCACCCTTCCTCCAATTTGCTCCTCTTTGGACTAAAGTGATGAAGTGTGTGTTCATTTAGTGTGTGTGCAAAGTGCTTTATTTGTGCAGCCACCTTTACTTTTAGGAGCCTGTGTGTGCGTGTGTGTGTGCATGTGTGTGAATATGTAAGCAGAGAGGTTTAAGTGAAACAATGCTTTTAGTAAAAACGGTGAACATCAACAGCACATTTGCTGCCTCAGCTACAGTTGAGCCACATCAGCTATTATCGCTTCGTGTCTCCAACGTTTTGATTACAAGAGCGAAACTCGAAACCAACATCAAGGAAAGCTTTGTTTCTTTTGAATTTTCAACTAAATTTTTTTAAACAAACCGCTCATTTTCAGGATTATTTTTTTAAAAGAAATTAAAGCCTTTAAACTATTTGTTTGACTGACGTGAACATTTAGGGACCGATAACTGACCTGAGTAGTTATTGTGTTTTAAGGTGTTTTTGTGTGTGATTGGAGCTGAGTGAGCAGGTTATTTTTGTTTATTCGGAGATTATAATTGTGTAAAAATTCATTTAAATCAGCAGAAAAATAAAAAGTTCAAACAATAAATGATTGTTTTACAACAAGTTCCCCACATTTTCAAACGTCTTTTCATATTTCCCGTATATTCGAACATAAAAACCCAAACTACTGAAAGGTTTAACAAGTGCTACAGCTCGCTGTATTCATATTCAAGTTCATGTGTAATTTGTTGTGAGGTGATGAGCAGAACAAGTTTCAGGTTTTGTTTCATTTTTTCTGCTCTCTGAAGGTAAAACAGGTCAGTTCCTGCGTCTGATCGTCTACACGAGCCTCATCTTTCTGACCCTGCAGTGTTTCATGCAGATCCCCTTTGCCTACATCCCCCCACATGGTAAAGACCAACTCGCTACATTTCTCCAAATACTGTTTTTTTAATGTAAAATTTGATGTCTACTTAATTTAGAATCCTAATAGTAGGGTTTAGGTCTCCTTGAGTAAGTCAAAAACCAAGACAAACGGAAAAAATAATTTCACTTTTAAAATACCCCACTTCTTTGAGCAATTCTTTAGAAATTTTTATTTTCATCCTTTAGAACAGTGTTTCCCAAAGTTGGGGCCGGGACCCAAAGTGGGGTCCCGAAACATCAAGGTGGGGTCCTGAAAAGATTTTCTAAATTAATTACACTTTTGTCTTAGTTGTTACAAATGAGTGAGGTTAGTGTATTTAAAATGGATAAATGTAGAATAATAATTGTTATTATGCCCATGTTTAGTTGACCTGATACAAATGTTTATCATCCAAAAATAGTTGGGGCCACAGGTCTCTGCTACTGTTATTTTGTGGGTCAAAAGCTGAAAAGTTTGGGAACCACTGCACTTTGGTTCCCAAAGTTGGGCTTGGGGCCCAATGGGTCATGAAGCACCTTGGATAATCTCCAGAAATCAATTTAAAGGGTAATAAAATAATTGCTGATGTAATATTTTCCCTATAATTATTACAAAAACACAAAATAAGTATAAATAAGTATTTATATTTGTGTACAAACTGTGTTTTTAGGGTTATTAATGAAGTTCATGTACTCAGACCAGTAATATTTGGGGTCACAAGTTTTTGCCGTGGATATTTTGTGGGTCAGAAGATAAAAAGTTTGGGAACTACTGCTTTAGAATATGCTACAGGGAACAGAGTCTGAAAAGATTTTTACATTTATGTTTTAATTTTTTTCCACACTTATCCTGGAAACCATATTCCACATGACCACATGAAGAAAATACTCATTCAACATTAAGGAAATACTTGTGTTTTAGGCTAAAAACTATTGATTGTTTAAGAAAACCTGTTTTATTAAGACAAATTTTCTTTTTAACAGTTAGCGGATTCTGGGAAGATTTCCTCTACCATTTGGGAATTGTGAGGTATGAGAGCGTACAATTTTCATATTTGAATGCTTAAACCATTTTTAATAAAAGTATTGTAAACAGGTAGTCAATTTAACTTTTAAACATTTTTCCTTCTCTGCGCTCTAAATGACTCTTTTAATGTACTTACACATAATGACATTAGAAAGTAGAGGCTGATTTAAATTTCTTTCTCAGGCTCAGGTTTGGTGTCACATTTCTGCCTCTTGTTGGCAACCATAAAACCCAACAAATTTTCATTCTGAGCACGATTATGCTTCACACTGCAGTTGTTTGTGATTATGTCCTAAAGCAGAAATAAAAATGTCTGCACCTCTGTGTCATCAGATTTTATGTACAAACTTTCTGCTGATAGAATATCGATGTTTATCTGGCACCGAGGTCGTCTCCGAGATCAGGAAGAAAAACAACTGTTTTTACAAGTTAGTTGTTCTTATAGGGCTTTGAGTTTTTGTACTGAAGCCATGCTGTTTGTTACAAATCTGGATAAAAGTTTTATTTTATCTACAAATACCACTGTCTATGATAGCACAAATAACAGCAACGTAATTAAATTAGGTTTATTAATCCAGAAGAGAGGAGGGGTTTAGATTGAGGTTCAACATTTTATGGATCAAACGTATATTTGATATTAGTCACAAACCAGATTATTTTACTTTGTGTTTTCTTCATGCTGTAAATGTAATAATGTTACTGATGTCTGTTTTTTTTTGTTTTTTTTTGTTTTTGTTGTTTTTTCAGATTCAGTTCGGTTGATGCTGGGAATGTTGTGCGTCTCTTGGCCCCAGACGTTGGCCTTTTCTTTTCTATTTTGTTCATCCTGAGGCTGTGCAAAAAACGCCTACGCCCCGTGCCTCAGGTCAACCTGCATGAAAATGGAGTCCCACCCTCCATGCCCGAGGTAACGGCTCACACAACAACCGCTCAAGAACTTTTAAACGCACAGAGTTTACATGAAACACTGTGTGTCGGCTCTTGCAGGATGTAGAAACGTCTGAATCGGAATCAGAGGAGGAAAGCGTCCCGGAGGGCTCGTCTTTTGACAGCTCAGATGAGACTACGGTTCCAGTTTCTTCCGGGCCTCCCCAGTTTGTCCAGAAACTGATCCTGTTCGCGGCCGGACTGAGGCTGCTGCTGTCGGCCATCATGAACACAGCGGGGAAAGTGGTGGTGACTCTGCTGCTGGGACTGGCAGGTAGATAAACAAACACAGGTGTACTCAAGCTCTAAAATGCTAACAGAGTTTTTTTTTATCTAATTCATCTTTTTTATTCTTCCACTTGTCCTGATGTGTGTCCCCAGGTATCACGCTGCCCTCTCTCACCTCCGGCATGTATTTCGGGGTGTTTCTCAGCCTGGTGTGGTGGTGGATATTCAGTCGCTCCATCAGCTTGCTGGTTTTCAGCTCCTTGTGTGTGATGATGGCCATCTTCAGCGGAGGACATTTGCTGGCTCTTTATGTGTATCAGCTACCTCTGTCCCAGCAGCTTGTTCCACCAGACGACATCTTTGCCAGGTATTGGAGGCAATGAAAAGAAACAAATGCTATTTTATCTTTTCTTTTTAAATGAAGGGGCATCTTTATCCTTATCTGACCTTGAAATTAACCAGCCTCTTTCAGTTGAGTGAATATGAAATGTGTATTGTTTTAATTAAATCTGAACTTTTATTTTTAATCTTTACTATTTTTTCTCAAATTAGAAAAATGAAGCAACATACATAGTATCATTAATCATTAAAAAAGTGCCAAAAAGCAGAGGTGCTGTGTGTTAACAGAGTTGTAAAGTAACTAAGTACAAATACTTTGTTACTTTACTTAAATAGAATTTTTGGGTATCTACTTTACTTGAGAAAATATTTTTCAGCCTACTTTTTACTTCTACTTCTTACATTTTCACACAATTATCTGTAGTTTCTACTCATTACATTTGTAAAAAAGGCAAGAAGTAGAAAGTCATTACTTTTATTTCATTTTTGCTTGTTTTCATTCCAGCTTGTTATTGTAAAAATAAATACTATCCATACAAATTGTGCCTCCTAGTTAGAGTGAATTTAATTGTGGTTGAATGAGAAGTATAAATATATAAAATTCTTATACGGTATTAGTTTGTACACAAACAAATCATGTCACACTCCATCAGGACATAATCATTAAAATAAAATGACTGTACTTAAGAAGTATTTGTATTTCATGAATTATATTATTGCATTTGGCCACAGCCCTCAGATAGATTTTCATTTTGGGGAAAAGGTTTGGGCAGCCTTGATTTATAAAGTGAAACAGCTGGACTAGTGCATCCTAAATTTAACACAAATTAATTATTTTAATACGACAGTCCTTTCAGCATTTTTTGTGGAGGTCACCTCCTAATTAATGTCATTACAGAAAATCTAACTGCTCATTTTAAATAA